TTTCTCGTTGCATGCGCAACAGGGGGGCCCGCCGCCGTCTCGCGGGATGAGGGTAGGTGGAGGGGGTTGGGTGTAGTCCGATACACGCTCGCTCATCCGAAAAGGAGCAGAAACAGCCGAGAAATCACCAACTCAATCATGGGGGATCCCAAACAAAGATCCTATCAACCCATCCATCGACCGCCCGACACAAACATCTCACTCTCTCAAGCTCAACAAGCGTCTGTCTCTCAAAAACCACCCACCTTTCCACCCTCCCCGCGTCCAACACACGCCATCATTCCCTCCGCTCTGCCTTGCTCCTCTTCGGGGTCTAGTGGGCTTCGTCCTCCTCTCTGCTCCTCCTCTCTGCTCTGGGGGCGAGGAGAGCGCCAGTCACCATGCCTAGGCTCGGACTATGCCGACCATCGTCGGCGGCATGTGCGCGATCGGCAGCGGATGGACCTGGGCGCGGCAGGGGAATGCGAGAGGGGCGGCCACTCGAGTGGGGATGGGTACATGTGTGCAAGCGGCAGCTGGTGCGGGCAGCCTCATGGGGAGGGGCGCGGCGGGGACGGGCATCAGTGGCGTCACGAAAGTGCTGATGGGTGATGGGGCAGCTGGGTTGGCGTGGCGTACGGGGGGGCCACGGCGCCCTGGCGGAACCTGCACATAGGGAACACACACAGGAGCGCTCCTAATGAATTATGTGTAAGCTTTCGTGTATGCTACTTCCTGTCTCTCTCTCCCTCTCTCTCTCTCTCTCTCTCTCTCGTGTGTGTGTGTGTGTGTCTGTCTTTCTGTGTGTGTGTACCATGGGTGCGCCAGCACTTCCGCCATGGTCGGCCTCGCAGAGGGGCTCATGGCCGTCGTGCGGTTTATGAGGTCGGCTGCCGTGGGCGACACATTGCGGCGGAGCGGGCTCGGACCAAACTGCAGCGAAAAGATCCATCCAGCAACAGACACACGTCTGACCGGTTCCCCGCGCTCCCTCACTCACCGGTGCCGACAGAGGGTCGAGGGTCGCTGGATCGTGGCCGTACTCCAGCAACATCCGCACCATCCGCCCCACGGCATAGACCGTCGCCTTGTCTGGGTCGAACAGACGGTGGGGGCTGTACGTCTGCACAGCAGGCAACAGGCAGGGAGACACAATGTATATATTGGGGAGACAGATGGGTAGTCTACACATCGGCTGAACTAACTGCCCACGTGCGGTGCAGCTGACCTCGAGGCCTGGAAGTAGCGCACGCCTTTCGGGTTGGGCCCTGTGCTGAGCAGCCGGGTCTGCATAGTAATACATGTATCAGATGACGCGCACAGATAGAGAGAACAGAGTGATGCATCCATCCATCTATCCATCAATCCTGCTAACGTGCTGGGGGTCGTAGAGCTGTGCCTGCTCAACATCAATCAACTTGGCCTGCCCTTGGTGATCGTACTGAATGTTGTCGAGGTGTAGGTCGCTGCACACATCAACCAGACAGAGAGAGGGCAGCTCAGCTGGAGGGCATTCATTCAGTCATCCCACCAAGGGACTAACCCGTGGTCTATGCCTCGCTCCAGAAGCTTGGCGTAGGTGTCAGCCACGGGCGCCATCCACTCGACCGCCTGGGTCTCCGAAAGCACCGACCGGCCCTCGCTGTCGAGGTGCCGGCTGGCGAGCCGGCTCAGGGGCCTCTCTGCCGACAGTAACTCCATCTCTAAGTAGGTTATGTATGCGAAGTGGTAGGCCTAGACACAACACACACATTGAACGTTCAAACACACAAGCAACGCTCGCTCTCCTTTGTGCTTTGCTTTCCGTACCAGTGAGTGTTACTTACAGCGTGCAAGTTGATGACCCCGTCCAGATCCCTCGCCCCCTCCAGCGCCCTTATCTCGTTTTGCACCTCCTCCATGAAATCCGCCTCGCCCTCGCCCTCCCGTATCTCCCTTTTGGGGCGCATCCGCAGCGCCACCTCCTTCCCCTCCTGTGGCCCCTCCCTCCTCCGTGCTCTGATGATGAGCGCGCCGATGCCGGCTGCCATCTCGCCCTTGTCTTCAAGGAAAGCGGATGGGAATCCCCATTTGCCGCCGGTCTTCGTGGCCTTCTCGCTTTGCAGGGAAGGGTCATGTCGTACTGGGGCGTGGCGGTGCTGAAGGGCGAGGGCAGGCGGGAGCAGAGATGGCGGAACCACGGCGGGGGCTTGCTGAAGACCCAGCTGGCCTGCTGAAGACCCAGCTGATGAGCTGGCGGCAGCCTTCTCCGATGCGGCACATGTCTGTCGTCGGCAGCTGACGTTGACGGTGAGCTCCTCGGCTCGTTTGCTTTTCCCAGGAATGGCATATGATTCATTGAATACTTCATTCACCTGTTAGAGGACTTCGTCGAGAAAAGGAGACGGCCATCAGGACAAAGACCCAAAATTACCCAAAATTCATCTGACCACACAAGCATGCCAACAGGGCACAGTGAGACCACCGCAGCAATGAACCGGACTATGCAGTCATCCTTGAACATCATCCATACACCATACCGTCACCGCAGCCAACCCAAAGAAATGACACGTGTACTCACCTGAAAGGATGTTTTCAAGACAAAGTAAGGCGTGCGCGCACTCAGTTGACGCCAGACAGTGTCAGGCAGTCGCCACCCGTTCATGATCAACAGACGGCAGGGCGCCACCGGCGGAGGCCTCGCTCGCGGCACGGCGGTACGGGAAGGAAGGGTAAGTTCATCCGGACGAGTCGAGGAAGGGTAGATGAGGTTGGGCCGGACCGAACCAGCCGAAAAAGCAGATGAAAAGAAGAAGAAACGGGGCATCTGTGGCCGAAAGAAGGCTGAGAAGCCGAGCACGAACAAAAAGTGGGACGAATTCTTGCCGAATTTTCGAATTTCCCGTCCCGTCTCCAATTCTCGCCTCATCTGTTCGTGGAGCAAAAGAGAGGCTTTAGACCGAACAGCGGGCCAACATTCCGTGAAACCGCCAAACACACTGGAACCAGAGCGTATTGGTGGTGGGTCGCGGCTGTTTGTCGTGTTGGATCAGTCCGCTGCTCGTGCCGTCGAGCTGCACGTGGAAGAAGATGCCACGGAACAGAAGTGCCCATTGTTCCGCATCACTCATTGTTCCGCTCACCTCACGAATGGATGTGTGTTTGGTGCCGTGCAGGTGAGTCGCGGCACTTCCGCTCTGCCTCACCTACCACAACAACAAGACCCTGAAGGACTACCAGACTTGCCGGCGTCGACAGAGACCTGCTTGGTGTGCTGTTCCCCACCAACGTCGGTGACAAGATCACACTGGGAACTGTCGAGGTGGGGAGAAGGGAGGAGGGACGCATGCACTGTACAGTGGCCGCCGTGCTTTGTGTTACGCCAGGAGCGTGGTTCCTGTCGTAGCAGTGACAACGGAGAGCGGCTGGCCAAGGCCTACAAAGTGTCTGTGCACATCGCATCTGCACGCCATGGGCTGTGCACATTCATCGGCTGTGGGCAGTGACGGACCCATGTTGCTGAACGTGGGCGGGACGGTCATGACGTTTCCTCGTGATTTGCTCCTTCACGACGGGCTGAAGCACACCCTCCTGGCCGTATTGCTTCACCGCTTTGGCGACTGGATGCTCAGCAACGGCAACGGCACTCCCTTCATCGATGCAGATCCAGATTACTTCAAATGGTGAGATGGCAAGGGCAGGGCATGCAGGCTGACATTCAGCGGTGGCCACCACTGCCCCCTTGTGTGTCTGTGTGTGTTGTGTCAGGTTGAATGTCAAGCTTCGTTACCTGAGGGACAACCGCATCGACGTGAGTGAGATCTGTGAGGGCTGCCCCTCTGCATTCGCCTTCTACCACGACCGGTTCTTCGCCAAGACGGACCTGACCATCGAGCCACAGACCGGCGACGACAAGAGTGCCGCCTTCCGCGGCTTCATGGCTGCGATGGGCGCCTTCATCGACTCATCAGTGGCGGGCGGGAAGGGCGGGAGTGAGGTGCTAAGCGTGTGTGTGGATGGCTATACGGTGGCCACAACCGACGCCACGCTGGACGACTTCACCGCACTCTACAACCGATTCACCAAGTGAGAAAGTTCTGAGGCAGGGAGCCAAACTGGGACGGAGATGCACACTATCGCCTTGTGCGGCCGTGTATCTGTGCAGGCTCACTGGGCCGGTGGTTGACGTACGCGCAGACCACTTCTACAAGTAACATGACGATTCTGGCACACACGGGCACATCGATCCCCCTGTGTGTGGCGTGCTGGTGTGGTGTTGTGTGTGCAGGGTCGTTGATTACGTCCGCCGCATTCGGATCGCCCCCGACGCCGCCACGCCGCTGCCGACGAGCAGCTCCTTCGACGAGCTGCTGTATGTGTGTGAGATGTACGGCCTCATGGAGCAGGTGTACCTGTCGATGATCGGCAAATCCCACAGCCACATCGAATGCATCCTCAAGTGAGTCACAGAGACCACACACGAACAGCACAGGGACGGGAGAGATCTGAGATGGCACCCTTCTGTGTGTGTCTGTCAGAAGCTCCCATGGCGACTGTGAGTTTGACACGTTGGTGCAGCGAGCGCAGGGTCTGCAAGGCGGCCTGCTGTTCGCCATCGAGTGTGAGTGTGAGGCCCGCCGCCACCGCTTCGCCGTCCATGTGGACGGCCCCCTCATCGCCCCATCAGACCCCATACCTGAGCTGCACACCGGCCGCCTTGTTACCTTCTACTCCATAAGCGGCGCGTTCGAGGAGGGCGACAGCATCGTCAAGGTCACCGTGACCGGCGACAAGCAGTGGGTGGACGTCGCAAGCATACACGGGGCGCTCAAGGACGACCAGGGTGAGCCTCGTGGCAAGGTGTCCATCGCTGGCGGTCGGCTGTGGCTGGGGTGTGCGGAGGGTGAGCTGGTGAGCGATTTGCGCCACTGCCAGCAGTGGCTGTGGAGGAGTGACCTGCCGGTGAGCAAGGCGTATCGGGGCAGCTTCAACGACAGCGGATCCGCCACGCTCGCCGGCAGCTCCCACTTCACCGCCACGCGACTGGAGGTCTACCAGGTCAGACAAGGCAGGGGGCGCTGGATGCACCTATGGGTCTCCATGTTTCTGTGTACGTGCAGGTAGTCAGCACTTGCCCGGCTGACCCCATCCTCTCAGCCGACGGCCTCCAGGCACTCATCTACATGACGAGCGACACCCCAACGACCGCAAAGCTGCTCTACAAGTGAGGGACCACCGAATAAGTGACAGCTGAAATCTCGTCGGTGCATTGCCTGCCTGTCTGTCTGTCTGTCTGATTGTGTTTCAGAGGTGACCGTGACGGCTGGGCGCACAAGACCATGCTGACCAAGGTGGGCAAGGCGGCCGACCTGCTCTTCGTCATCAAGGACCTGGGCGGCCACGTCCTCGCCTCCCACCTCAAGGGACAGCTCAAGCTGCCAGACAAGCCCACTGGCGTGGAGAAGACCACCGACTGCCCCGTCGCCTTCTACTCCATAAGCGGCGCGTTCGAGGAGGGCGACGGCACCGTCAGGATCGCCGTGCCGCGCAACGAGCACTACGTGGTGGTCGCCGGGACGGAGGGGGAGAATTGGGGCAAGGTAGCCATCGGTGGCGGCCGCCTGTTGCTGGGGTATGGGGCGTCGGCTGGCGACCTCCGCCGCTGCCAGCAGTGGCTGAGGAGGGGTGACCTGCCCGACGGCAAGACGTATCGGGGCAGCTTTGATGACGACCGACACGCCATATTGGCGGCCACTCTCAAGTTCACGTGTGCCGACATGGAGATCTACACTCTGCAGGTGAGAGGGGCAGGAGTGAGGGAGGGGAGGCGAGGAAGGCACGCATGAATGTCTCGACGTGTTCAGGCGTCGGAGCGGTGGGCAGCGTGAGAGCTGTCGAGATGTGTGTGATGGCGGTGATGTAGTCGGCCAGCGGGATCATGTGGCCGCTTCATGACCTTTTTCCGGGTGGTCGCATGAGTGTGTTTGTCTCTCTGCTGCTGCCATGGGTTTATCTATTGGCGGAGGTGGAGAGAGGTCTGTCTATGGCAATGTACGTGTATACGTATGTGTGTGTGTGTGTGTGTGTGTGTCGCCGTTTTTGCCCCTCTCTATCCATCGGAATGCTGCGTCCGTCCTCATCGCATGTGGCTGCACATCCGCTCGGATGTCTGCAACCGGTGGATGAATCTCCTGCCTCTCTATGGTAAGTACGTCTCCCTGTCTGTATATGTGCGTGTCCGTGGTGCATGCGATCGATGTAACATGTATATAATAATACACATACATATGTATATACATATATGGATGTCCACACGAATCGCTGGTCGCTGCATTGCGTGTTTCGTGTCCAGCTGTCACACATCAAAACACGTTCCCGGCCGGCCGGCCGGCCGGCCGGCCGGTCGGCGCGCGACATCGATCAATCGGTGAGAGCCACACAGAGAAGGGATCAATGTGCGATGGATGGATGGATGGATTGACGGATTGATGGATTGATGCGTGTTTGAGGCGTTCTGTACCTCTGTGATTCTCGTGAATTTGTAATCCATGAACCGAGAATCACGCAGCACGCATATATAGCCAACCGATCACGATCGGCCCTGTACAGGTAAGTACACGACAGTCAGCCCGGCCAACCAGCCATTCCATCTATCCAACTATCGTCATGCACCAAAGCGACATCTGATCACCCGAAAAATGTGAAAAGCGGGCCGAAATTTTTGTCGAACTTTCCCGTCTCAATTCTCGCCGAGGGAAAATCATTGCTCACATCTTTCTCTGTCCGTGGAGCCAAACAGCCGAGACGCCATGCCGCTGTCGCGGCCAAGGGCAGAAACGCCTTTGCAAGATGTGCTCATTGTGCTGTGCACACTGAGAGGCCAAGCTCGGATAGCGATCTCTTTGCCGCCGATCTCTTCCATTGCCGAGACACCGGGTTGAACACGGGAAGCATTAAAACTCAGCAGGGATGATTGTCACAGCCAAACGTGTCGAATGGAGCCAGCCACCCATGTAGCGATCGTCAGTGTCAGTCAAAACACGTCACTGTCTGTTCTGTTCGTGCCACTCCTGCAGGCTTCGATACCTTAGCTCCCACATGATGTGGGAAGGGAGAAAAGGTTGTCTAAGCTGCTGGACAGCCACGAAGGACCGACCGACCCCGGTAGACATAGAGATCCACTTTTCAGCAACAATCCGGACGGGCTCCCATCGATTGGCCTCTTCCTCTCCTGGTATCTCAACCGTTCCCTCCACTACTTCCAGGCGGAGAGAGAGCACCCAGTCTCAGTCGGGGAACTGAGACAGAGCACTCAGTCTCAGTCGGGGAGTGGTGCACCCACCGAAGAGATACCAGGAGAAGTAGAGAAAGAAAGAGACACCCCTGGGGTGGCAAGGGAGGAAGGAAGCGACAGGCACGCAGCTGATGGGACGGACAGAGTAAGTAAGGTGGACCGAGGGAGGCGAGAAGGCAGGGGTGAGCCCCAAGCAAAAACCTTCTATCGCCGTAGCTAGCTAGCAACGACCGCACACCACACCACACCCGCACCAACCAAGCGACCGACCGACCGATTCTTGCAAAAATCCGCTCCTCAAGACACGCCCGCCCCACACGCCATACCATGCAACATTGAAACCGTTCCACGAAAAATCAACCACTCACTCACACCAGACAAGACAGCCCCGCTCGCCCCCATTGCACATTTGAGCACATATCCATCCTTTGTCTATGGTATGGTCGGCCAATAGGAAAATGCACTGGTGCAACGTCAGTGCTGTACATAACAGGGGAGGGAGGGAGGGAGGGAGGCAGAGAAAGGTAGATAAGGGAGAGATGACGGCCTAGCTGAGAGAGACAGGCGGGGAGAGAGGGAGGGAGGTAAGGCTTGGTGGACGGCATGGCAAGTGCCCCTTTGAAAGCGCAGGCACGAAAAGGGACGCGAGGCACCAGTCATCGCACGACCTCACGAGTGCCGGTTTGCCCCCAGCCATCCCGCCCCGCCCTCCGGACAAAACGAGACCGGGCCAATCAAGCAAAACAAGCAAGCAGGCAGGCAGGTTGGACAGACGAGAGAGAAATAGGCAGCCATTCATTCGACTAGGATCAGCCAAACAGTCGGTCGGTCAGTCAGTCAGTCGGTCAGTCAGTCAGTCAGTGAGTCAGTCAGGCAGGCAGGCAGTGGTGTGTGTGTATGTGTGGATGGATGGCATGGATGGACAACGGCGGCCGGGGGGGGCCTCCACTCGACGTGATGCCCCCGACCACAGGTGGGTGGCACCTGTACACAGTGAGTGAGTCAGTGAGTGAATGGGATGGCATATGATGCTTAAATCCACACACACGGACACGCACACGCAGACACATTGATGGACCCATGTAGGTATGCATGTGTGTAGCCGTACTCTCGCAGAACACGAAGACAGGCAGGCAGGCAGGCAGGCAAGGATGGAGCAGCGGGGCCACGGTCTACTCCGGTCATTGGAGTACCATCCCGGCTCTCACTCATACACCACACCCATCACACACATACACATACACCCGTCCGTTCACCAAGCAGGCCATATGCGACACGCACACCCATACAGATAGACAGACAAGTACACACACGTATAGAGGTAGAGGAGAGAGAGGTAGGGGCTCGAGAAGCGACATGACACAGACAGACAGAAGGGGGGCTGGGCTGGGCTCCTGGAGAGCCCGCCATCCGTCATATGAATTGACAAATGCAATGTATGCAATGCAGCGGTAGGTAGGAAGTATAGATAGATAGATAGACAGACAGACACCACACGCCCCACACCGCATCGCACGCCAGACATGACATCCATCCATCACTCTTGTCCGTTCTCCGTCGGTGCCCCACCCACCACGCCGTTCATCTCCTCCTTGCCACTGCTCTCCTCCTTGTCGTCCTCTTTGGCCTCCTCCTTGCCAGTCGTTTCATCCGTCTCGGCCTCTTGCGCCTCGTCCACCTTGCCAGAAGCAGCGGCAGTCTCGTCCTTGCCGTTGGTGTCGGTGTGAGGTGCGTCCTTGGACTCCTCTGTCGGCTTCTCAGCCGCTGTGTCGTCCTGTTGCTGCTCCTTCGTGGTGTCGTCTTGGCTGGCTTCGGGGGCCTCTGGCTCGGCTGCGGCCTCCTCTGGCTTGCCTGCGGTGGCCTCGTCTGCCTGCTTGTCTGGCTGTGGTGCGTCTGGGGCTTTGGCGGCGGCTTCGTCAGTGGTCGTGGTGGTGGTGGTGGTGGGCTTGTCGGGGGCGCCGGTCATCTGCTTCCATGCCTGCAATGCCACAAGGAAGGAAGTTTTCACATGATCTGATATGCGGGGCGCTTCCTCTCGTCTGTCTGTCTGTATGCGTGTGTGTGTACCTCTTGGAAGACGTTGTCATCGAATGCGAAGGTGACCCTGGGCGCGAGCCGATACCGGTAGCCAGTCGTGATGCCCTGAGTGACACATACCAACCATACACAGAACAGAACGAGAGGTGGCGTCACGTCAAAGCACATGTGGCCCAGATGGACAGACACCCGGAGTAGATGCCTTTCCTTTCTCTGACCTCGATGATCTTCTCAGCGACCTCCATCTTGGTGGCGTCCTCGTGCTTGTACACCCCTCCAGAGAACAGAGCGATCCTGTCGACACACACACACACGACGCGCTTTCACAAAGGTGGGTGGGGTGTGAGTATATATATGTGGTGCGTGTCCGCTGGTCACCTCACCCACCTGGCGACATCAAGTCTGTCGAGGTCCCTGTTGTCTCGCCGTGTCCGCTTGACGAGGCCGTTGTAGTCCACCAGTGCCGTCATCAGGTTGTTGGCCGTCTTGCTCACTGACAGACAGACAGGTGACCAAGGAGAGGCATGTGTGCAGGGAAGGAAACGAGTAGCGTAGCGGCCAGCATCATGTCATGTGTGTGTGGCGTACCAGCTCCGAGGAACTCTTCTTTGGAGCCGAAGTCCTTGCCCTTCGGGCCGACCACATAGATCATGCCGATGTTCTTCTTCTGAACGAAATCCCACACAAACACACAAGCGCCCATCGTCCGTCCGTGTGTCTTGCTGCCCGCATCGCATTTGTGTGTGTATGTGTCAGTCAGGTCACTTACGGCGCCTTTTGGCCTCTTGTCTTCCCTGAATATGTCAAGGAAGACAGCGCCGACGGCTTTGCACCCCTCGGGACCCTTGTCCTTCAGGTCGAAGCAGATCCGGCAGAAGGACGCATGCAAGTCACTGACACACACACACATAAGACAGACAGACAGACAGACGACGTGTGGTGTGCCTGCGTCGGTGTCTGTGTGTGTGCGATGGATGCGTACGGGTGGTGTTCTGAAAGGTTGACGGCCTCGACCAGCCGGATGTCCTCGCCCTTGGTGGCGTTGGGGTTCTCCTTCAAAGCCTTCTCAACCAACGACTGGGGGCACGCACACACACACACACACACACACAGAGAGAGAGAGAGAGTGTGTGTGTGTGCATGAGTGGCGTGTGTGCCGACCCGACCTACCTTGTGCAGAGGTGCATATCGGTCAATGTTCTGCTCCGCTGCCTCGAGAGTCGTCTTGAAGGCAGCGTTCAAAGCACTCCCACCGACGAACAACTCGTAGTCACCTGCCCAGACACACAGCCACACAGCCCATACACACACACACACACACACACACACACAGACATGACATCAGCCCACCGCTCGCCCATTCCCCAGCACACCCACCACACACCTACCTGCATTGACAGAAGCGAAGGTCTGCATGGGTTTGTCGTCGTAGATGGGGGTGAACTTGGCCTCGCCCTCGGGCTTGTGGAAGCCCACCATGCCTTGCGGGATCTTGCTTCCCTTGAAGGTGGGGTTGCGTTCGAGGTGGATGGTGATGCCGGCGGTGGGGTGCCGCGGGCCCCTGGGGTGCTCGCCGCCCTCGAACGACGTCATGACCTTGCTCTTCTTGCAGTACTGCTTCTCCTCCAGCACGTCGGCCAGCTGGATGGCCAGCGAGATGGCGTTGCCCAGGGCCGTCACCACGATGACCTCGGTCCCCGTAGCGAACCGCTCGTACGCAGTGCGCTCGTAGAAGCCCAGCGGCCTCGCGAGCGACAGCTGGATGCGCTCCGTCCTCTTGCCAGTGGCCGTATCAATGACAGTGCCCACACCAGTGACCGTCGTGGAGTCATTGACCTCAGCGTTGGCTGCATCACCCTCATCGCCCTCGTCAGCGTGGTGGTCGACCTCCTTGTTCGTCTCGATGTCGGCCGCTGCGTCGCCCGAGGGGTCCTCCACAGGCTGTGTGTCGGTGGCGGGGGTCTCGCTCTTCTCCAACTCCGTCGAATCAGCCATCTGGAAGGGGCAGGGAGACGACAAGCGACCTCGGGGGAAGGGCTGGAGGAGATGATCGATGCTGTGCAGCTCAGGCGGTCTCTCTGCGTCTCTTGCTCACTTCAAATCAGCTTCCACGCTTCAAGATCTCCTCCCTCCAGTCGAGCTAAGCTCGCAACCGCAAGCTCGCCGCTGGCAAGCTGAGAAAACGGCAGAAAGATCACCCCTCCTGCAGCACACCACGACATCTGCAGATCTGCTTGAGAAAATCCGATGGCTGACCGTGCATTCGAGTTTGGCGAGACCCAGCCCGTGGCCGGCGGCTTCGCGCCACCCATGCCGGCAGCCATGGACGAGGCTGATGCGCCAGACGAGCAGGACGACAACGACGACGACGACTTTGACCTGGAGGACCAGGCCGATGATGAGGAGGAGCAGGGCGGTGAGGCTCCTGCTCTTGCTGGGGGTGGCGAGCAGCAGCAACAAGCAGCGATAGATGAGACCATGGAGGGCGACGAGGGGATGGAGGGCGATGGCGGCGATGGCGGCATGGAGGAGGAGCAAGGCATGGAGGTCGAGGGAGGAGACGATGCGGCGCAGCAGGGCAACGATGACGACCACGAGGAAGAGGGACAGCACATCGTAAGCTAAGCGAGTTGACACGACAAACGACACACACCAGACCCACACAGAGAGAGAAACAACCACCCACATGACATGAGTGGCCTGCCTCCACCGTCTGTCTGTATCGTATCTGCCTGCCTGCCTGCCTTGTCAGAATGTCTATGCGGACATTTTCGGTGACGCCGACGAGAAGCCCGACGACGAGGAGGACGCGCCAGCCCATGAACCACCCGACCAGCAGCCCCGCCAGGACCAGGAGTACCAGGACGAGATGCCGGGCGTGGAGGAGGGCGGCGAGCCGTCGCCCGATGACATTGATGAGGAGGAGGGGCGCCACAAGAAGAAAAAGAAGAAGAAGGAGCGCAAGAAGCCAGAGAGGAAGCGCAAGGCCAAGGCACAGAGCGAAGATGACCCACTCAAGGCGGCGGCCGAGGGCAGCGACGTAAGCGACCGACCGAGGGCAGACAGACACAACACGCAGGCAGGCACACGGCTGACTGACGGGTGGGGATGTGTTGCATCTGTGTCTATTTCTGTGTCTGTCTGTGTGTGTGGTTGGTTAGTATGGTGGCGAGTCTAGCCCTCGGTCAGAGAAGGAGGTGACCAAAGAGGACAGGAAGATCGAAGAGTGGAAGAGTGAGTGGCGGGCAGAAAAGAACAGACACACGCACAACATGAAAGACAGACTGACCTGCAATGTCTTCTCTCTCCTTCTGTGTGTGGTGTGGTGTGTCCACAGAGCAGCGCAAGTCCAAGAGGAAGGCGGCCGACATCAATCGGGCTGATGCTTCGGTGAGTGAGTGAGGGACAGACACGACGGTGCACCGACTGACTGAGTCGCCAAAGTGCGTGGGTCTTGTCGTTGTCAGGGATTCGCTTATGACCGTATCAGGGACATGGAAGAAGCGCACCAAGCAGGTAGTCAGAGCACCTCGGTCACACACACACCACCCGTAACTCACCTCTTTGTGTGTGAGCTGGTGCGTCAGATCTGAATTCGATCGAGGCGGGACGGCCGGCCACGGCCAAGGTGGACAACGTGGACCTCATGATGAACATCATCAGCATGGTCAGCCAGCCACAACACACACCCATACCACCTCCCCTGCACCACTGGCTGTCTCATGGCTCGTGTGGTGCAGGCCAAGTGGCGCGACTACTTCATCGGGGAGCACGGCGGCAAACTCTGCAGCGCCCTGGCATCGTAAGCTCACTCACTCGCGGCACGGGGCAGGGGAAGGGGCAGCAGCGGACCAGCTAGCTGTGTCTGTCTTGTTTGTGGCTTGTCGATCCTTCAGCTGGTTGTCGATCCACAACAATCTCCTCCCCAATGTCCATGTGCGCGGTCGGATTCTCGAGACACTCATCTCTCTGCCGGTCGGTGCAAACGAGCATGAGATGAGCATTTGTGTGTATCTATCGGTCACTCTGTCTGCACCCTTCCTTCTATGTGTGATGTGATGTGTATGGGTGGGTGGATCCACTTACTCAGCTGTCCCCTGATGTGCTGAGCCAGTCGTATCCGAGACTCGGGGAGGTCATCATCGACCTCTGGAAACACAAAGGCAGGCAAACCAAATGCGCGCAGAAACAAAACCAACGAAGGCAAGAAGGAGTGCGTGTCTTGACTGGTTGCGGCTGCTGCAGATGTGGGTCGTGAGCACAAGAGCATGATAGAGCGTCTGGTCAAGAAGTGGGCCCGCAGCGTCATGCACGAACGTGACAGCCTCGATCGACGCGAAGACGACGCGCCCTCGCCCGTAGTCGCCAGACCGGTAGGGAGCAGACAGACACACCAACACCACGGCGTCAATCTATCCATCCATCCATCCATCGTGTGTTCGCCTGCCCTGCCATCAGGTTGAGCGTGTTGACCGCCAACACACAGGAGACTTAGGAGGTAGTTGATAGATACGCCCTTTAACACATATATGAGCATTGGTTGTCGCACCTTCACGGCCGGCTGACTCGACTCGTCTCGTCGTCGATTCCTTCGTGCAGATGACGAGGAGAGGTTCAACAAGCGTCGTCACGCCCGCATCCCACAGGCGCCATCCTTCCACTTCAAGGTAAGTCGGTGGCCCACCCACCCACCGACACACATGGCATGGCCGTCAGTCACCTTCTGTATGCATGAATGGCCCGGCCCCCTCGTACTGTGCTGTCATCCATTCCATTCACACAGGTGAAGCCCGAGGGCGACAAGAATGTGGAGGTGCCGCAGGTCGACCCCAAGAGCAGAGAGGTGAGTGAGGTGGGACGAAAGGGTAAAGAGGCCGGCCCAGGTGGATGAAGCCCTGGAGACGAGGCGAGGCGAGGCGAGGCGAGATTTGGTTGTTGCTGCGTGTGTGTGTGTGCATCAGGGTCGCATTCGTAGGCGAGTGATGGAGATCCGCAGAGGCCCAGGAAGGAGGAACCTCAAGGCGCAGAACCCAGGTAGAAAGACTGACACACGCAGACAGCAGGCAACCACGCAAAGGCCCTTCGTGCGGATGGGTGTTTTATGCATTCGTATGTGCGGTCAGATTGAGTCCGTGGCTACTCAGAGACCCGTCAATACGAGTCTGGATAGTGTTTTTCGGATGGTGTGTTAATGTGCTGACATTGACCGAGGGATGGGGCGTCCAGCTGCAGCATTTCCAGTCCAAGGAAAACAACACACAGCAATCTTGTGCGTTGTTCTTCTCCTTCGACTGAAGGTGCTGTAGTTGTAGCGGACCATTCATTCACACGTCAAGGAGTGAGTCGATTGTCTCACCGCCGACATTACTTACTTGCAAGCAAGAACAGCAAGAATGCAAGCAAAGCAAGCATCCAGGCCGAAGCTAGATTGTCTTGGGTGGCACATGCATGTGGACACACCATTCGGCCTTTGGTGCATCTAAACTCGTATGGATCTGTGTGTGTGGGACCTTTCGACCCGTCTGTGCACTCAACGATTGATTGCAGCTGTTCTGCATGCAAGGCAAGCACCAGAGCAAGTGTCGGATAGACTCGGTCACCCAGTGAGTGGCAGGCAGCTACTCTCCTGCCTGTGATGCTGGCTGTCTTCTCGTACAGTGATGCTGGCTGTCTTCTCGTACATATGTGGCTTCCCGACTCCACAGCCAGACAGGGATCCAAGGGGCGTCAAGATTGGACAGATAGAAATCACCTGAAGACAAGACAAGTGGATCCATAGCAATACATCCTCACTGGAACACGTGTACACATCGGTCGATCGGTGGCCAGCGCACCTCTTGCTGTCTTGTGCGTGTGGCGGCGGGAGGGGGGGGAGGAGGGCGAGGCTCAAGCATGGCTGGTGTGGTCCGGCTGGGGCTATCATGAAGACCATGTCTCCGCCCGCTAATCTTCAACTGTGTTTCTTCTCCATCTCACAGCTGCTGCTGCTGCTGCTGTTGCTGTTGCTGTTGCTGTTGCTGTTGCTGCTGCTCTGCAGCCACCTGCTCGTCCTCTCCCTCGGCGTGGTGGGCGTCTTCAGAAGGTGCTGCGCCGGCCGTGGTGGGGTGCTGAGTGTCGTGGGCAGTCGACGCAGTGGGTTTGGCCCGCTCGAGCGCCTTCAGCGCGGCGAAGAGGGCGTCCTCGACGTCCTGCAGGGTGCCGCGGTCCTGCTCCTCGGGGTTGGTGGCCTTGGCGGCGATGGCGCAAATGCGGTTTAGCCACTCCTGGACAAAATCAAGCTTGACTTTGTCCAGGGGGCAGCCGTCGGCGCTGTTGGGGCGGCCGTCCTCTTTCATGAAGTCCTTGCCGTCGTTGAAGCCGGACACCGACAGCATCTCACCACCCGCCACCGAGTCGTGTCGTACCACCGCTGCTGGTCCTCCCCCTCTTTCAGCGGGCCCTCGATGCTCCGGCCGAGCGTCCCCGCTGCGGCTATGAGCAGCCCTACGCCATGGACTGCAGCCGGCGCGCCCACCCAGATGCCCTCCTCCTTGCCCTTGCCCACCAGCAGCCCTCTCTCTCGCATGTCGTCCCGCACCTCGGCCCTCGCCGCGCTGAGTGCCGCCTTCTGCGCCTGGACCTCAGCCGACTCGCCATCCTTCGGCTGGAGTCCAGCGGGCGTGTCACCGTGGCACGTGGTGACCATGATGAGCTCGGGCGCCCTGGAGAAGGGCGTGCTGCCGACGATCTGCCCTCGCCGTTGTTGCTGCTCCGGGTCCAGGGGCACGAGGGCGGTGTGGGCGGGTTCGCCCATGTAGCGCGGGGGTGGGCCGCTGCTGCTGCTGCTGGTGGTGGTGGCGCCGAGATGGATGACGTTGGTCAGGTCTATCATCCTCTGGCCGTTGTCAGCCGGGTACGGCTTGAGGGCGCGCTCGCCGTCGAGGACGGCCTTGGGCAGCATGATGTTCTTGTTGAAGCCGTCCTGGTGCAGCCCGCCGCGCCACACGGCTCCCCGGTGCGCCTGGCAGACCATGGCCAGTGCCTTGGTCAGCACGATGAGCTCCTGGCGGAGCTGCTCCGGGTCGCCGCTGGCCGCGAAGCGCTCGTGGATGGCCCGCACGTTGTAGCCGTAGCCACCGGGGACGAACCCGAACACCTTCTCGATCTCCTCGAACTTGCTGCCCTCTGCATGCGGGACGTACACACCACACAACAGACACACACCACACAATGACTGACTGACTGAAATGATGAATGACCCTTCGTCCCCTTCATCTCGCTCCTCTGATCTGATCTGACGCGTATGTGCGTGCTGTGTGTAGGGCTCACTCACCGAGTGCCTCCATAGCTATGCACAGCACCGGCGTCTTGACCCCGTCGCTACGCACATACTCGGCCGGTTTGGCGTCGTCGGTGTCGGCCGCGATGAGGTTGATGAATGGCGCCCACCCGCCCATCTTGCTCATCGTCTTGGCCTCCTGCCGCAGCTCGGTGATGTCCCGCTTCTGCAGCTGCCGCTTCCGCGGGTCCTCATGGAGGGTGAGCCGCTTGATGGCCGCTCTGACGGGCGTCACGCCCCGGCCCGGCAGTGGCCGCCAGAGCTTGGCCATGACGACGGGCTTCCCCTTGCCCTGGCCCAGCATGGTGCCCTCCTCAAACTCGGCCTTTAAGCCGCTCGTGAAGTTGATGGTGCCCTTCGGCATCCTGGTAATTGGCGCCACCTATCAATCAGCCAAACAAAGCAATGGGTCATGGATGCATTGAATGCAGCGGCACGCCTTCGCATCCATCCATCCATGCCATGCCTCACCTCTGGCTGAGGCCGAGCGGTGGACGATGCTGCCGCTGCAGCTGCCCCCATGGCGCTGCGATTCAAGCACGGCTGCAATGAATGGATCACTCTCAACGTTCATCCTCATCCTGCACGGCATCTGCGTGCTTACTTTCTATGGGTGTGTACGTAGTACGTGATGGCCTATGTGATGGCCTTCAGTGCCAACAAGCTGTACAACACGCTATGCACTCATCCAAGGCGGAAGCTCTCTTGCCCCAAATGCGCGCTCAACCTTTTCAAGCTCGCACGTCTGCATCTCAGCGCATTGCCGCTGCTGCTGCATCTCAGCGCAGAAAGGGAAGATCAGCATCAGGTGCGGCAGGGGAGATTCAGCAATCAAAAACAAATCAGACCTATTCATCTTCATCCTGTGTTTGTGGTTTCAGAGTGTGGTATCTGTGTCTGTGGATGGGTTCATCGATGGCCTCAAAGTCGACAGCCATTCCCGAGGGACCAAACCTGGTCAAGGGCGCAGATCCAAGCAAGCCGACCGAGGTCAGCGCCGGACACAGGGGCACCGGGAGGTGATGGCGCAACAACTGCATTCTGTGTTTGGTGCAGTATGCGACCTTCGCTGGCGGCTGCTTCTGGGGCATGGAGAAGTGGTTTCGCAAAGAGGTGAGTGACGATGCAGGGCTGAATGCATGAAAGACTACAAGCTTCTTGGCGTGTTCCGTGCCCTGTGTCCTGTCGGTCAGTTTGGCGCTGCTCTCAAGAGCACCAGCGTAGGCTATATCGGCGGACAGAAGGCGAGCCCCACGTACGAGGATGTGTGCACTGGAGGAACGGGTCATGCCGAGGCCCTGCAACTGGAATACTACCCGGTGAGCTGACTGTCCTACCCTGGCCGGCCGCAGAAAACCTTCTCACGTGGCCCTTTGTGCTGTGTCCAGGACAAGGTCGACTATGCGACCTTGCTCGATTACTTCTGGAGGCTACACGACCCAACAACCCTGAACCGCCAGGGCAACGACGTGGGCACTCAGTACCGCAGCGCCATATTCTATCACAGCGACAGCCAGAAGGAGGCGGCCAACGCCAAGATGGCTGAGATGCAGGGCAAGCAGTGGGGCGCGCCAATCACCACGCAGGTCGTGCCGGCAAAGCCCGAAGATTTCTTCCGGTGAGCAGGAAGCCGAGCACGTCGGAGCTGATGAGCCAATGCGCACACCTGCCGTCTGTGCGGTGTACGCGATTTCTGTCAGGGCGGAGGGGTACCATCAGCTATACCTTGATGCCCATCCTGGCGGCTACTGCAACCATTTTGTGCGGCCAAAGAAGTGACGGCCCCTTTTTGTGTGTGTGGCGGTAGTAGAGGTGTTGGCCTGTGCAGTGCAAGCGAGAGAGCGGCCTTCTCAGAAGGGTCGACTCGTTTCTCAGTTTAGCAAGTGTGATGCACAGCTGTTGGGGTCGATTGCGCGTGTAGATCTGCTGGCTCGCCGTGACGCGCGCATGACGATGGATTCATTCGCACAACTTGAGACTCCGCTGCCCCCAAGGCCCCCAGGATCGAACTGCATGCATCAGAAATGCCGGCTGTTTTTGAGAAGGGAGACGATATCAGGGAGATCACTGATGAGTCAGAAGAGGAGTTAGATGACCACACATACGACCGGGTCATCCAAGAGCTGTCCAACAAAGTGCGCTTCTCCAGAGCGTTCAAGGACGCCCTCAACAGCTTCAAAGGCGAATTAGTGGACGTCGTGCAGACCTTCGTGGATGAGATCAATGAGCAGATCTCCAAGGGAGAAGACTTCAATCAAGTCGTCAGCTTTCCCAAGGCCCACCTCTACTACCTCAAGGCCTATGAGTCACGGAAGAGGGAGACGCCTGAAGAGGAAGAGGACAAGGAGGAAAGAAGGGTTGACGTGATTCGGAGCACGTACGGCGGGGTCCATCAAGAGCTCGATGTGGTGGAGAATCTGTTGGGCGGCTTTGCAGAGACACTCATGAAGGTGTATTGGCAGACGGTCGTCCCGGAGAACAGAGCGAGGATGGCGAATATGGAGAGGAGAGTGGCCTCCTATCGAGACAAGATGATGGCTCTCGAGGAGCATTTGCTCGAGCGGTCTGCACAGCTGTCCAAGTGTCGATGGGACTACTACCTCGAAATCACTCTACTCAGGTCAGTCATATATTCTTCTTGTGAAGTTCCCACATGTCTGTCTGTCTGCCGTCTCTTTGTCAGGGAGCAGCTCTTCCGCAAGGAGGCCGAAGAAACATTCGAGCCGCTTAAGGTTCAGAAACCTCGATCGCAATCATGCTTCGCCCTGCAAACGAAATGTCTCAGTATTGTCTGTCTTCATGCATATCGCAGGTGTTCTGGTTTGAGCCGACGGAGTACCTTGACCCCGAGACCGCCCGAATGCTTAACAGCCGCATTAAGCAGATCATCATCCGGGCAGCTCAGGAAAAGGAAGAGGTGCTCAAGTTCGCGGATGAGCTGCAGCAGCGAATCCAGGAGCTCGAGAAGGCACTACTGCGTGGCGGCATCACGCTTGCCAAGGTGTCGCCGCCCCAGGCCCCTCCACCTCACCCTCTCGCTCTGTCTGAAGAAGCCAGGAGCCCCGTCGCACGCAAGCCAGTCAAGCGGGAGACAGACCCGCTGACCGAGGTGACATGTGCATAACTCATCTGTCTGCAAAGACACGCACACAATACGGCAGACAAGCCGTGCGTGTCTGGATTGTGTAGGTCCAAAATGCGCTGGCAGCAAGCCACTTCACCACCCTTGATTACTTTGATGCCTTGTACTCAATGGACCCTGAAGCACTTGAAGATAGGATAGAAGCGTAGGCGAGGAACATAAGGAGACATACATGAAGGTTAGGCTCACGGATGGATGTCTGTGGTATGTATGCCACAGTGCCCTGGAGAACCGCGTCAAGGCGAGGGTGGCGCAGGAAGTGGAGGCCAACCAGGCCGAGATGGAGAAGGTCATGGGAGTCAAAATAAAACGGATGGAGCGCACTATCGAAGAGCAATGGCAGGTAAGTCAGCATTGAAGTGTTGTAAGGACTGTCCAAGAGCAGATTGCATTTGGTGTGCATTGCTCTTCAGATGATCCAGAACTTTGAGGAGCGTCTTGCCGCTGTTCCCGAGGCCGAGCGGCCCCCAGAGCTTAGTTTCATCGGAGGCATACTCAGCAAAAGAGCCCCACCGATGCCACCCGAACAGAGGGCCCTCGTCGACAAGTAAGCAGCCGTCACACGCCTTGCTCTCAATTGCTCGATTATCGCCCTGGTATGCATGGTTGTCATCAGGAAGGACGCCGAGATCGGCCGCCTGCAGATCGAGAACGAGAACCTGCGCAAACAGTTGAAAGCCCTCGAGAAGTCAGCTGAAGAAGAGGCAGAAGAGGAGGCAGAGGAGGCCGAAGCGGCAGAGGCTGAGGCGCCGCCAGCTCAAGTGCTCAAGGGGAAAAAGAAGAGACCTGAGGCCAAGAAGCCCGGACAAAAGATCGCAACGGGCGGCAGATCCAAGGGCAAGGGCAAGGGCAGCACGGAAGACCTCGCCATCAGGCCACACAGATCAAGAACTGCCTCTCTGCAGGTGCGACAAGTGGTGCGCATCGATTGACACGTGTATCCGCTGCACACCCCCGCCCTGTGCTGTCATGCAGAAGACTTCCAGCACCGACAAGCTTCTGGCTGGTCTGTCCAAGTCTGTGCAGGTGCCGCCAACCCATGAGAAGGAGGGAGAAGGCGAGGAACGGTCTCCTGTGAAACGGGCAGCGACGACTGGTGGAGTGGAGGAGGACACCATGGTGAAAAGGCTCAGAGATGAAAACACCGACATCCGACAGGTGCGACACACGTGCATTCGTATGCCGACGTTCATGTATCAATTTCGTGCTCATGTCGTGTCTCACCCACAGCGCGTTCGCGAACTGCAGGAGTGGATCGAAACCATCCTGAAAGAAGTGCCTGCCACAGGAGACTGGGCCTCTTCCCTGCCTACGACGCCTCTGCCTCCCCCAACACCGCAGGCCCTGTTGCGGTCGGCCTCCCGCAGCGGTTCACTGGAGAAGCCGCCTGCCCACCCGACACCCATCGACCACTCGTCATCCAGCACTCCAAGAGGATGGGGCGCAGAGGGCGCAAGAGACAAGGGGGCGCCGCCAGCTGACGTTGCTGATCGAAAGAAGAGACGCGGAGCTGAGGAGGCCAAGAAGGAGGCTGAGGTGCAGGAAGCGATCGACTTCCTTGACGTGGGGCGGGCGGAGGAGAGCAGGGTGGGCAACAGAGAAGTGCGGTCATTCGGAACACAGTCGTGGGTGAGTGCCCTGCATGGACCCGTCTTCTTCGCAGAAGAGCCGCCTACCGCTGGTACAGAGGATCAAGCACGACACCTGTCTTGACTGTGACAAACCTGTGTGCCTCTCTCAGGCTTGGCTGGTGCGGTGCTGCAGGAGCTGGGCGACTTCAACCGAAGTACCGACGCATCGCAGGCTGCAGCACTCACGGACCTTCTGGCTGCCCGCATGCCGCCTCTCGGTAATTGGCATCACAGTGAGTGATTCACTGTGATTCACTGCACTCAAAGCAGAGCAGGGTGAACGCGTCTGCAATGCACAGGCAAAGGCGATGGCACGACGGAGCCTCGCGCATTTCATCGCTTCCTACAAACCGGCATCAAACGGTAATCAAGTATGGATACACGTGTCTCTTCATTCTTTTCCCACGTCTGCTCCGCATGTCAGTCTAGAGCGGCTGGGGGAGATTCGAAAGCTCTTCACGGGGATCTGTCGCCGTGAGATGACGCAGCTGACCGACGCTTTAGGACTCCTCCATGCGTCATCATTCGTCAAAGCGCGACCCTCAACAAGACCCATACTAGCCTCGTCGTCGCTCAGGAAAGAGACAGTTCAAGAGATCCCAGACGAAAAGGTGACACACGAAACAGTCATTCATTCGACTGACTGTGCAGAATGTGGATTGATTCTATTGTTTCATGGATGCAGCTTGATGGCCTGCTTCACCAGTGGCTTGAGCAGCTGGACACAGTGATCACGGAGCTCCTGCGGGAGGGCAAGAAGCAGATCCAACTCTATGTCAGACCACTGAGGAGAGAGGAGAGTGCCTCCAGCGACGCTGGCGAGCGTCCCACGATCCCTATGAAGACCCAGACCTTCCAGCTTGACACCTCCCCGGGGTCGTCACCGTCGGTGAGGCAAATCAGCCCGACGTCAGGCGAGCGGAAGCGAAGGAAGCCGCGAGACTCGGAGACAAGGGAATCGGGATCGTCAGCTGGATCTTCCTCTGGCGCCTCAGGTCTGTCTTCAGGCACGTGTAGAATACAAAGCACATATTATCTGAATCACTGTATCTCGGACCTGTGTTTGAGCAGAGAAGCAGGTTGGCTTCGACATTGCCGCCCATCGACCCAGCCTTCGGCGCTCGTCGTCGGCTGCCTTCCAGCAGAGGCCCAGCGTGGGATTTAGAAGAGCGCAGACAAAGCAGTTCCTGGAGGAGAGGGGCTGGCTGCAGCTCGACCTGGAAGAAATGGAGACTTCGGGGGCCAGCGAGGTCATGCGCCTTGCTGACAGAGCCAGTCCCGTGTCGCCCAGCAAGATCTGGAGGCCGGACGTCAAGCAAGCTCTTGCCGAATGGAAAGTCGAGCCACGGGCAGGATCGCCAGTCACTGGTCGGCCGCTCCCCACACCCAGCAGTGGTCGGCCAACACCCAGCGGTGCTCGCCCTGTGCCTGGATCATCCGCTTTGTCCCCCGCACCCGTCACACCATCGACACAGCCAGGCGCCACGGGTGCGGGCTTCTTCCCCCAACCTTCCACCCCCTCTGCTGTCCCCTCCCCGTCGCTAGAGCAATCAGCATCAATGTTCCGGCCAGAGACGGGTAGTGAGCCCTCCAAGAGCTCCGGCTTCCAGCCCTCGCCGATGCTGACCGAATCGAAACTCGGGGCTTCTTATGGAACAATGGCCACACTCTACGAGGAGCCAGGAGGACCACCAATGGCCAGACCTACGACTTACGGGCCCTCCGAGACAGAAAGGTGGCTGCCCGCATATCATCCTTCCGACCAGATGCAGCCACGCGATAGAACGCAGCCAATTCAGCCCGCACCTCCGCCAGGCCGACGCACGCCAGACCGGGCATATCGCACCGATCGCGAGCGGGAATACTATGAAGACGGAGACAGATATCACCCACCCATCGCGTATCAGCCATTCGATACGACACAGCCCACACCTCCACCAGGGCGCCCTACGCCAGATCGGGAACATCGCATTGCTCGCGAGACGGAGTACATTGGAGGGCGAGACATGTATGCCAGACTCACACCACTGGTCGACGCGAAGAGGGAGATGGAGAAATGGGACAGGGAGAGGCGATCCCGTGGCGTCCAGGCTGGCCATGGATGGCTGTCGCCCCTGCATGTTATGGGCGGCCTGGGTGGCGTGTCGCTGCCAGCAGGGCTCCCGTACGACCTGATCATGCAGATGGCCATCCTGCTGCAGCGATACCAGTGGAGGGATGGAGCGACGGCTCCCTTCGTCGGCGCCGTGTCCGCTCCTGCCCTGGGCGGCGAACGAAAAGTCGAGGAGCAGAAAAGGCGGAGAGAAAGAGCAAGGGAAATGAAAGAACAGGGCATGAAGAGCGGCACAGAGGTACGGTCTCCAGCAGGCAGAGACATGACCTGGGAAGACTTTTTCCACTCTTCTTCATTTGTATGCAGGCTCCTGTGTCACCATCGACTCCTTCTATGCCCGTGCCTTTCCATCGCATCGTGGTCCCCTCGCCAAAAACGGCTTCGCCGGCGCCGTCCTCCCCTATCCTGCCCATTGCGGGTCAAGCTCTGCTGAAGTCTTCATCGTCACTCACAGACATTCCTGCCGCTGCACCGCCTCAGCAGGAGGAGAAATCAGCAGAAGAGCGCACAGAGATACTGCCTGAAATGGTGATAAATGTCTCCCACCGGATGACAAAGGGGTCGGAGACGGAACAAGCTCGCTCTTCATCCAGCTCGATCGTGGAAGAATCGCCTCCCCGTCCCGCTCGCCCGACAGAGGAGCCCATCGAGCGAGCCCTGTCCTTCCTGCATCCGCACTGGTGGGGCACAGCGGCGATCGAACACCTAGGGCGCTTCATGAGGTTGGCAGAGGAGCAAGCGAAGTTCGACCGGTCCACCGTCGATGACATGCAAGCAGCGATGACCAAAGCAGGAACGAGGGAGGAGACTATACCTCCCTTCCCTGCGCGGCCGCTGACCTCTTCCTTCAACCAAATACCCCGGCCGAGCAGAAGAAGGGGGCAGGGGGCATCAACTGCAGAGGAGCCAAAAGCAGACAAGACGGACAAGAGGCCACCAAGGAATGTCCGAGACTTCCGCGACATTGAGGCTGTGTATCCACTGCCGCATATCGGCGGGGGTATCGACAACACGGGCGGCGTCGACCCGTGGCTATACCTCACCAAAGTACTGTCTCATCAGCCGACTGCCGACAGGCCCACCTACCCCCCTCCCTCCTGGCCCGTCCCAGGCGACAAGTACGAGGCGACAGCTGGAGGAAAGGCACACGTGGGAGAGCAGCTTCGTGAGTCTTTGCGCAACTTCGGCATTCCAGTAGACGACGAGAGCAGGCTTCCCAGCCGCTCGAAACTCGTGTGGAAGAGTGTGCAGGAGAAGCCGACAGTCAAGGCTGAGGATCGTGCTGTGGCATCGGATGAAGAGCCAAACAAGAGGCCCGACAGCGAGGATTGCAGGAAACACATCACGCCTCCCCCGTCGACACCCCCGTCTCCCCCTCGCCCATTCACGCGACCGGGCGGGACTCAGCCAAGAGGCGGAGGGTGGACCTCGCCGCCGCAGACGGCCGCCACGGCACCGTCCCCCAGCCATCCACTGTTGGTATCTGCCACCGGACAGCCGCCTAAAAGTGCTCCGTCGACGCAGCAGAAGCGAGACGGCCGCCTGCCTCCCGTGCAAGATGGAGCTGCATACCATCCTGCACGAGAGGCCACACCTCCAATGAAGAGAAAAGGGTTTCAGCAGGGTGCATTCTTGGGGGGATTTGATGGCAGAATGAGGGTTAGAAGAGAGTTGCAGGCAAAAGCGGGTTCCCCGCCTATTGTTGTGGCGGCGCTTAACGGAAACATTGGGGCGGACAAGACGGACAAAGGGCCTAAGGGCAAAGGTGTCGACTGATGTATGTGTGTATGGGTGTACGGTGCAGTGCATTGATGGTGTATGTGTGTCGATAGCATGCGATGATCTGTGCCGTGACTTATCGTCAGACGATATAAGCGCTAAGACATATCGAGTATTCACACGCTTCGTAAGTGAGGTCGACATGTACAGCAAAGCCGCTACAGCTCATCGTGTGTGTGGTCTGCCTCTTCCTCATCGTCGGCTACGCTGGTCTCCTGCTCCTCTTCCTCTTGTTCTGCTTGAGTGGCCTTCATCTTTCGCATGTATAGCTCCGTCTTCTGCACGTCCTCCTCGATGGTCGCCCTATCAGGCACCGTGACGTTCTCCTTGCTGACACTGAAACTGCATACCATACGCAAAGGACAGACACTCGAAAGGGCTTAGGCCATGCGTCTGACTGCAGGGCTCTCACCCACCCAAGGGCTCGGTCGAATTGTTTGAGTACGAAGTCCAGGGCCGAGCCCACCATATTGGCAATGCCCTTCTGCTTGCACAACTGCACATATACACAAATATGAAACCATGGAGCAGGCCATGCCACCTTTTCTTTCTTACACCGCACAGCCGGCAGGCTGGGCAGAAGCGGCAGTAGCCGCAGTAGTGACAGTTGGGCGTCTTGTCAGACCGCTCACAAGGGCACTTCCTGCACTCGTCGCAGAACTGACACACCATGGCAAGCGAAGGACACACAAGACGGCATCAGAAATATGATCAGATCAGGCACACTGGCAACAGGCCACATGTATCGCCCTCCTCTAGTTCTGCCTCCTCCTCCTGACCTGGCAGTATTCACAGAACGAGCACAGCGTGCTGACTTTCTCTGGTTGTTCTGACAAGTTGATGTTGACTCCAGCTGCATCTCCTGCCCCTTGGCACACTGGGAGGAGGAACGTGAACGCCAGGAAACCACGCATTTTTGTCCGTGAGCGTTTACACTTGCGTAAATCAGTGCAGAAGCTTTGGGGACCTGTTCTCTGCATAGCACCAGTCCTCTGCTCTGCAGCACAAGTTGTTGCCCGCATTACCTGCCGAAAATGAATTCCCTCTCTGACTGACTGTTTGTCTGTCGTACGTGTACCATGTCTGCGATTCTCTGGTCGAGCTTGGCGAGCTGAGCATAGAGAGAGTTTGTACTCTTTGAGCGGTTCATGGTGTGCAATCCAGAAGACAGTCAAGAAAGCAGAGGTTGGACAACCATCAAACAGGAGGCAAATGGATCGATGTTTGTGTGTCAAATGTAAGTGTACGGATACATACACATGCAAGAAATACTTATTGACTGGGCGTGAATGAATAAGTGAATGAAACCGCCAGCCGCTCGGCATTCCGCTGGCCAGTGCCTCCTTCAAGGTCACCCTCTCATCGGACACGAGCAACGCCGGGCACAACGCAGATGAGTACGCAGGAGGGTCTTACACGTTCGAAGGTCAGTATGTACGCATAGAGAAGGACGACAAAGCAAGAGATGCACAGATCTGGGAAGCCGAAAGGCAGATCTCTGTTTATTTTCACTGCAGGCGGTGCAACGGACATCACGGGCACGTGAATGGTCCCATTTCCAGCTTCCTCCGGTCCGGGGCTGCGCTTCAACATCGGCAAGATCTGCGACAGCGGCATTGAGGTCAAGTTCACCGCATATCCCTCATCTACGTGCAATGGTACGCCAAGTATGTTGGCGGCAGAGATCTTTGGATGTGTCTCGTGTATCGTGCTCTCGTTCGGACTCTCGTTCAGATTACAAGCCGAGCGTTGCAACCACATGCGGCCACGTATGCCTATCAGATGGCAATGACCCATGGCGATGACCATGGCGATTTTTCTCCACTCTCTGTTGTCCCTGCAGGAACAGACACTGAAAGGCGCGTGCGTGGAGATCCCCTTCGGGAAGTTGTGGGGGCGCAGCTACAAGATAGAGGCGTGCAAATGATGGGCAGGCTGAGAGGCTGGCTGCTAGTCATTGCAAGGCAGATCGTGTGTGGTCATGCCCGTCTGCTGCATGTGCTAGTGAACTAGCTAGCTAGTGTGTGGGCTTTGTTGTTCCATCGCAGACGGACGGACATTCCATGCGGTGCGGTGCCTGTCAGCGCGCTGGCTGCATGATTGCAACAATACATACACACACACGTGAATGAATGCATTCATTGATGTAAGTAAGTAGGTGGCCAGTCTTCACAAAAGTGTAGGTAGCATAAAGGCGTCATCCGACAAGCAGCAATACCGATATCGATACACATATGTGACACACACACACACACACACCATCGCATCGACACGGCAGCACAGCACGGCATAGCCGACCGACATGCACGCGGCAAGCCCCTCTGTCTGTTCTGTACACAGCACACACAGCATCCTTAAAAACGCAGAGAGAGCGTGCAAGCCATCGATAGATGGCACTCGACACACACACACAGGTAGCGTCAAAACCATCGCTTCGATACTCGAGAGAGACGCTGTGTGCCTCGCCTGCCTACTCATCAACGTCAAAATCATGAATGAGTTGGCGAGACCAGAAACGACCAGCCGTGGACACAGGTAGGTATCCATGATGGAAGCCTCGATGCCTTATCCGGTGTCGGCCTTCTTTCTCTCCTTCAGACCTGCACACAGACAGATACACACTCGTATACCATGAATGGTTTATGCATTGTCCAGAAGTCCCCTTCATTCGAGTGCTCTCTCCCACCTTGTGTGGTTGTGGGGTCGTCGGGCACTGCTGTGGGGGTGGTGGTGGAAGGCGTCGTGGTGGCACCCTCACCGTCAGCACCAGCACTGGCCGCAGCAGCTGCCTCGCCCCTCGTGTCGCCATCGGCTGCATCGGCTGCAGTTGCGGGAGCCGTCCCGTTCAGCAGTGGCGCGCCCTCTGAACACATCACGGCGGGACAGTCAGTGGTTGCAAGGCCGTCGCGTGTATATGCGTCTTGGGTGGGTACGTTTGTACCTGCATTGTTGGCTTGTTGTGCGTTGGGGTCCGTCCCTTCCTTCCATGCAGTGGGCCGCGTCTTGTCGACGCGATAGATCCACCGCTGGTAGCAATAGATCAGGAAGATCACATCTGCATGCAGCAGAGAGGTGGCGTACACAGACAAAAGGATGACGTGTGCAGCACGCGTGTGTGGGGGTGTTGCGAGATGGCTTAGGTACCGTTTCTGAAGCAGGCGAGTCTGTGCATCCAGGGCATGTCGATGATGAAGGCCGCTATGTCGTCCACAAAGGTGTTCAAGGCCCTGCACAGAGAGACGGACATCATGCGACGAGGCGGCATAGGCACATACATTTGTATGCGGGCGCTCGGCGCACGGTGCCCTACTTGTAGATGAGTGCCTTCCAGGGCAGGTGCTCCACCGATTTGAGCCGGTAGTTGATGTACAGCTGGGGCGTCATCATGATGAAACCTTCACATACAGACCGCACCACACACACAAATGGACACACACCTATACACTGACATCGGTTGTGCTGCCTGCCTGTGCTGACTGACGAGGCTGGCGCTTACCGAAGGTGTAGACGGTGCCGGCGAGGACCGATATGATGTATGAGTACCATGACTTGAATTTATACTTGTATAGCGAATAGATGGCGTAGCCGATCATCTGTCCAGACGCATCGCATCAAGGAAGGTGACAGAAAGACCAATAAATACATCATGCACCCACGCGTGCTCTGTGTCTGGTTGCTCTCCCTTACGCATGGCGACAGGGCGACGGTCATGTACTTGATGGCGAGTTCATCGTACTCCTTGGTCTTGGACTCTGCGTATTGCTGCCATACACACACGAACGTAGGCGTGGATGTGTACGACTCTCTCTCTGGTATGACCTTGGCATCCTCGAAAGTGACGAATGGGAACTCCTTGTGCAGGGTGACCTTGACGGCCTTGGTGAGCTTCCAGCCCTCGATGGCGATGCCCAGGAAGATCTCAAACAGGATCAGCCAGGAGGTGTCTTGCGAGTCCAGCAGGTACAGCCCGATGATGACCTCACAGACGAACGATATCAGGATCGACAGAGCCGACAGCCCCTGCATCGACTCCACCGAATACCAAAACTGTATATCTGTCGCGTGCGTGGGTAAAGGCAGGCACACACCAGGAACACATGATGTGATCGCGATTCGTGCGTGCCTGAGTGTGTGTGTGTGTGTGTACCGTTTTTGAACGCCAGCATAGAGAAGAGTGTGTGGAGGAGGATGAACAGGGCCGAGAAGAGCAGCATGTAGGGGTTAGTCTCCATTATGATGCGCTGCACACACGCAAGAAGCCAGGCAGACGATCTTCTGTCATCGTAGATGTCGTCAGCCTGCCCACCTTGAGCATGAAAGACTCCCGCCGCGTGTGCATGCCTGAACAGAGAGTGACATATACGGAGCGAGCACATATCACCGATGCACACTGTTGCTGGCGCTGGCTGGCTGGCTGGGGCTGACTCACCCCATTGTGACTGCATTGACCATGTGTCTGTCATCTGGACCTCTATCGACCACAGCCAGGCCGATATCACGTCCCAAGTGAAGGTCACCGTCAAGGGCTCACCCTGACAAGACACATACACAGGTGCTTGCGTGCACGCTGCTGTGTCAGTCTGTTTGTTTGCGCGTCAGTCACCTTGAGTGTGTCGTTCAGCGGGACGTAGTCCTTTTCAAGCAGCCAAAAGTCGCTCGGATACAGCACGGGGTGGTACACCCCAGCAGACAGGTGACGACGAATGGCTACACGGATGAAGCGAGAAAACAAACAGGAAGGAACATACCACATCCATCTTTTGCCTCCGGTGAGTTAGTTGTTTGAATGCGGTCCACACCTTTGAAGGGCCCCGTGTTGAGGCTCTGGAGGTCGTGTTTGGTGGTGTCAAATACGATGCGCAGGTCGAGGCGTTTCTTGAGGTGCATGGTCTCCTCCTTGGGTTTCTTCTTCTTGCCCTTCTCGTCCGCACCCTCCTTCTCCTTCTCCCTGTTCTGCCGCTCCATCTCCATCATGTCGAACTCGCTACCGCCCACCAGCGACTGCAGCTCCTCAGCCGAAAAGGGCTCCATCTTGACCGTCAGAGGCGCGGACGCATTGACGATCTGACGACACAGTCAAAGCGCACACACAGACAAACCATGTGGCTCTCTGCATGAGTCTGCACTGCACCTGCCCACCTACCTTGTGTTTCTCGAGTTCTTCGACCTCATCGACGTCCTTGTCAGGCACCAAATCGAGGAAGTGCGGGAAGGCAGTGAGGGTGACATAGAGACTCTCGTTGCCGGCCAGCATGCCCTCTGTTGGCACGAATGTATAGTTGACGGAGTTCTTGGCGATATCCTCCTCACTCCGCCGCCACCGCCACGACGTGGACTTGTCGTACGTCAGGGACGGGAGCGACCACACCAGTTCGGCATCGCGAGTGAGGGCCGTCCATGAGTTGTTCGGTGTCTTGGACACGTGAACAAAGAGGTCCTGACAAGACAACCGGTTGGGAGGGGAAAGATGCTTCATCCGCTGCTGAGTGTGTGTGTCTGCGTGTGTGAGTCTGTTCTGTCTGTTGGTCTTACGAATTTGGTGGATGGCGGGAAGTAGTTGTCCAGCGGCGCGATGGGTTTGCCTGTCTTGGGATCGGCGGGCGGCCTCTTGTTGCCGCCCATGAACATGTTGAAGATCATGTGCATCATGACGATCTGCATGAAGACACCACTCAACTGAGCTGCAGCCATCACACAAGCAAGGCAAACAGAGGGAGGAGCGAACACACGTACACACAACACAACACAGCACGTCATGTGTATCCATAGTGAGACAATCTCATGAGATTTGTTCCTATTGGCTTACACAGCCATCCTCGTTGCTGTCCCTGCTGCTGGCCGTCACCACCATCCCCCTGCTGTGCGGCTGGTGCCATCGCCTGCTGCAGATTACCCATCGTCGCTGGTCAACCGTCGTAGAAGAACAACCTGACTCAATCAGCTAGCAGCCGTCCAGAAGAATCAGCGGGCAGAAGGCGAAGAAAGCCACTTCTGCCCCTGGCTCTGCCGGCTTAGCTCGCATGCCGATCTGCGCAGCTCGCACGAGAGGAGCAGCTCGTGGCGGCCTGCCCCCGCCAGCTCGATGGACAGCGCTCACGCCCCGCACCAGCGCCTCAAGGAGGCTCCCGCAATGCGGAGAGACCGCGAGCATAAGAAGGCGCCGGCACCGCCAAAGGTGCACACCGAGGAGGACCGCGGCATCAGCAGGCAGAATGCGGTCAAGGACGAGATCATGTGGGACGAGAGCCAAGGCGGCAGGGAGTATCTGAAGCGGTTTGTGGTGGCGGGCTGCTCCCTGCTGCCGTCGCAGAGGGGTGCATCGAGCTGGCATCCCAACACGCCACCGGTGTCCGACCAAGAGAAGCTGGAAGTTGAGGCAGCCCTCAAGGTCAGCAGGACAGGCAAGGACAGGAAAACTTATTAACGTACATGTAGTGCACCTCGTGTGTAGACTGTCCATGTCGTGCAGTCATGGAAGAGCAACTATGAGGATCTGGAGAGATGTTTCGACTACTGCGAGATGGCCTTCAAGCGATGCGCCTTCCGCCTCACCATTTTCGGCAAGGAGACCGAGGACCGCACCACCAACAGCGACGATGCCGCCAAGCGCACACGCGACCTCACGCAGCAGCTCGAGAAGGCCGGCGAGGACTACCAGCGCGAGAAGAGGCGGCGCATCGATCTGTTGCACTACGAGGCCCTGTCGCGCGACATCAACACGCTCAAGGTGCGTCCCGACCTCGAGAAGGCCATTAGAGAGCAAGAGGCCAAGCTCGAGACACTCGAGAAGGAGACGAGCTCCATCGAAGGCCAGCAGAGCGACGTCACCAAGCGCGCTCAGCTGCTCATCCACACCTGGCAGGAGCTCAATGCTCACATCATCCCCCTCCTCCCCCCAACACCCGTCAGGCCGGCCCCCGCACAGCCGCCCTCACAGGCCAAGGAGAGCGGCACGCGAGCGGCGCCGACAGGAGGGGCCACAAGCGGCACAGCAAGGACACAGACGACTACGGGTGGTGCTAGTGGAGTGAAGAGTGGCGGGGGGGCATCCTCTAGTGGCGCTGCTAAGGGTGCACCTGCAGGCACCAAGAACGCTTTTGATGTCGGGGCGAGTGCGTCCACCGCCATGAATGTGGGATGAGAATAGACGGATGGAGAGGAAGAGATAGGGGTGCTTGTGGCAAGTTCTGATCGTGTGGGAGGCTTGTGGTTTGTGTGGCAACATGCTTTGTGTGGCTTTCCTTGTCTCCGTGCTTTTCCATGTCGACGGCCTGGGGTAATGAGGGCTGGGGCTCAGATGAGTTCCATCCCTCATTATCGAGACATGTCGGCACGGCAGGACACAGAGAGAGAAGGCGGATGAAATACAACGCTCTGTGAGTCCAATCTAAGCACAGGTCGAGAGCGCTATCCATTCCTGGCCTTGGCCAAGGCGTTTCTGTCCATTCCACCCCTTCCCTCCCGACCTCGAAGCTACCCGTTGACACTCAACTTCCAATGGAAAGCAGCACAGGCCCCCCACCCGTCAGCACCACCACTAGAACCGACAAAGCAGCCGGCGTGCCCATCGGAACGATACACACAGTCGCCGGATGCGGCGAAGACGGCCTCTACGGCGATGGGGGGAAGGCCACCGAGGCGAAACTGAGCCAGCCTTTCGGCCTCACCGTGTCTGGGGGAGGCAACAAGCGGATATTCCTCGCCGATACGGTCAATTGCCGCATCCGAGTGGTCGACGTTTCTACTGGTGGGGGAGTGGTAGGGGAGGCGCTTCTCATGTATGGGTTTCATGTTGGTGACTGCGTTCTGTTGTCTGTCTGTATATGCTGCAGGCACCATCCATTCGTGCGTGGGTACCGGGCTCTCTGGATTCGAGGGCGACGGGGGTCGAGCCATCAGTTGCCGCCTGTAAGCAACCATATGGCCATTCAGATTGTGGCCGTTACACACTACACAAGATCAGGAGCGCATTCCTTGCCACCAGATACTGGCCCTACGGCGTGTCTACACCCCCACGAGCAGCTGATGTGCTCTACATAGCTGACACGAGGAATCAAAGAATCAGACGAGTCGACCTGCGAGAAGGTGGGCATCGAAAAGGCTGCCTTGATGTGCGTGATGTGCCTGCTCTCGTACAGGGACCATTCGCAGCATTGCCGGTGTGTCTGAGGATGAGGGCAAAGACGAGGGGCCGGCCATGCAGTGCCTGTTAAGGCGGCCGACAGGCCTCGTGGCCACGGCTGACAATGCTCTGCTCTACGTCTCAGACTCCCACAACAACAAAATCAGATGCCTCGATATCAAGAATGGTATGCAAATGGCCTCATCTGGCGTGCATCACCTACCTCTACTTCCCTCTGTGTGCACCGCACAGGTCGACTGCGTACTTTGGCGGGTAGCGGTCCATCTCTGACCAAGAAAGGCTCCAAGGCCTCACGAGCCTTCAGCAAGTCCGAGTCAGGCATCGCTGCCACTTTCCAATACCCGACGGGCGTCGCACTCAACAGCACAGGCAGCACACTCTATGTGGCTGACCAATTGAACCATCAGATCAAGGCCGTCAACACCAAAACAGGTCGGCATTATCTGTCAACTAGTAAAGGAGGGAGACACACACTTTCATGTTTATGTCTCTCTGGACCTGCAGGAGAGGTGTCTGTTGTTGCGGGGAGCGGGGAGGGCGGGTTATCGGGAGACGGAGGTCCTGCACACGAAGCAGAGCTGCAGAAGCCAACCGGTGTTGCCGTGTCAGCCGACGACAGTCGTCTCTACATAGCCGACAGGCGCAACTTTGTCGTGCGCATGGTCACACTCAAGGAGAAGGAGGAAGGTGCGATGGAGGAACTAAAACATCCACGAGAGACTCTCATGTCTCTCCGTCTCTCTGTCTCTCTGTGTGGGTACAGCCTTCATCACAACGGTTGCGGGGACCGGCAGCGAGGGGGATGCTGCCGACGGCACGGCTGCCGACAAGGCGGGGCTCGACGGGCCGTCTGACGTCTGCACTGACATGGGGGAAGGAGGGTCGGGCGAGGTAGTGTACATTGCTGATTGCGACAACCATACAATAAGGCGGTTGGCATGGCAGGCTGCTGCTGCTGCTTCTCCCGCTGGTGGTCCTGCGAGGCGGACCTCAGTGCCCACTGTGCAGCTGTTTTGAGAAGTCGACTCGTTCGAAGAGGTTGACTGAGAAATGAAGTCAGGCCTGATGGTGCGTGGTGCTGGTGTGTAAGGTGTGTGATGGAACCGGACAGACCGACTTGTCGGGACGAATGTTTACGTCGGCCCCACAAGTTTGGGGCCTCTCCCCCCAGCCCGTCCATCAAAACCATTGACCAAATCAGCATTCTGATATCGTCTTTGTCATTCCCCATGGAGCTCATCATAGCCCACGTCTTGACGGTGGTCATCAACGGCGGTCTCGCCATCTACCTCCTCGGAGCCTTCATTGAGTACTGCATCATCTTTTTTCGCACGCTGGACTACCACTTCTGGCTCCAGGGCTACTGATCTGCTGACCCTCCCTTCCCCCACTTACCCCCACTTCACTCGAAGCATTCCTGGAGCTGATTCTCAACGCCAATGGCCTTGGAATTTGTCGTCGTCTTGGATGTAATGGTCCGAGCCATCGTCATCACCTGCCATATTCTCTTCTTGCTTGGTTGTAACGTCAACACAGAGTATTCGATATACGGCCGTCCCTCGTACCCAACCCGCCTGGGATACCCATCATAGAGAGGCGACCGCTAGGCTCATCGCTGCCTGTGAGCGTCAACTGCTATCCCCCAGCCCCCCTTATCTACGTCAGAGGATTGCTGAAGGGAACTATCGCCCCGTCTTCCTGCAGACTTTGTCGTCGTCATGGCCTTGCTGGAGTTTGTCGTCGTCTTGGGGGCAGTTGTCCGAGCCATCCTCTGGACCTCCTGTGCT